AGTTCCTTGTAATCAGTTCCCTCTTTCCTACCCATTCTCCAGAGGGCATTTTAAATGAAAGAATTTGAAATGAGTGTTGAGGGTATGTGGCATTTGAAGTAGGAAAGACCATAGAGAAGCTATAGAAGTGCTCCTAAGAGATACAGCAGAACAGAAATGCAGTTTATGTGATGAGAGTAAGGTAAGAAAACATGTTGTTTTAAAGAAGAAATAGTATAATTTGGATATTGGTAATAAGGAGTCTTGAATGCAGAGCCTTACATCACATTATTCTTCTGCAAGAAACCAAGAAAATTTGACCAGTTCAGATGCATAAAATAGATGACACAAAGGAACCTGGTGGTACCCTGTTGGGTAAGCTTTGGGCTGCTTATGTCAAGGTTGATAGTTCAAACCTACTAGTCCCTTCTCAGGAGACAGGTGCTCCTATAAAGATTTACAAAGCTTCAGAGCCCTATATAGAGTTATAGCGTTGTTATGAGTCAGAATTGATTTCATAGAAGTGGTGTGGTTTTTGGTTTGACCGTATATAAGAGCCCTGAAAAATAACTATGCCCATTACTGATATACTTCCACTTCATATATATATATATATATATATATATATTCCTGGATTCCACCTCTGAAGGTTGTATTTCCACACATATTTTTATGTGTATATATATGTATTTTTATATGTATTTTTATATGTATTTTATATATATATATTTATATATATGTATTTTATATGTATATATATGTATTTTTATATGTATTTTATATATATGTATTTTTATATGTATATATATATGTATTTTTAATATGTATTTAATATATATATATTTTTATATGTATGTATATATATATATATTCCTGGATTCCACCTCTGAAGGTTGTATTTCCACACATATTTTTCTTTGACCTTACCTTGCCCTTAGAATTTTGATTTTCAATCTATCCAGTCACTGAAGGGATTGGCTGAAATGACTCTCTAGGGCTCCCTGGACACTCTTGGAGGCTGCTTGATGAATACATATCCAAGCCAAAAGGCCTTTGATCACACTTCTGCTTTCATATTTAAGAAAACTGATTCCACACTTCAGGGAAAGAGTGGTCCTGAGTGGGTGAAGTAGGCATGTTGGGGTCACCCCCTCAAATAAAGTGTTTGCAGCTGCTGTTGTCTCTCTATAGACAACCCAGAGAAACCATTCTGGCGTAAGCCCAGGTGAAGGAATACTGTGATGATTGCCTTGGGGGCTCTAGCTGGACATTATCTTTACTAGCATCTCCATGCTTCCTGCAGAGGGGAGGGAGGACTCACACTTCTCCCTTACGTTCCCAGGAAGCCCACCTAGTCTCTAGGTCAGAGAATAAATAACTAGAATTAAATGAAATAAATGTTTATGTGATGACAGGAAACAAAGTGAGAAGCGGCAGCCTGTTCCCGGAGGAATGGCACACCTCCCGGGAAGCACGATGGGAAGAGCAGTCCATAGGGACCTCTTCTGCTTACCCTGTTGCTAATCTTTCCATTTGCTGCCGTCGTGCCTGTGGGAAGGTCCCTCCTCTATCTGTTCTTGCCCTCTACCCGCTCCCCACTCCCAACTATCAGCTGTCTGAGCTTTGCTAATCACACGGGTGAGGTTCAACTGGTAGAAATATGTGACGGCAAGAAGAATGTACCCTTTGACCTTTTCATTCCTCTTCCAGTGGCTTTAACACAAAATCACTATTGTTGTAAAGCCCAGAACCGTATGTGGTACTTATGTGAGCAGTGGTGGGAGGACCCAGAAAAAGGTACCTTGGTGGAAAATGGGTCAGCAGCATTGTGTTACATGAATGAAGCCACGGCGTTCTCATTTATTTATTGCTATTTATAACTATTATTATTATGAATTGGGAGTTAACACCTATATCATTCTATAGTCCAATCATGTCAGTTGCTACCACAATCAGTTTCCAAACCTTCTTTTTCTACCTGGACTCCTTGACATCGTCTTCCTTTTGCCCTAACACCACTGTAGCCCCCACCCCGAAACCCTTATTCTACTTGCTCTCCCACAATCCTGGGCTTCACATACTGTACCACAGCAAAACAGGAACAGTTTCCAGAGGGTGACCTCTGATGACGCAACACCTCTGAGATACACCCTAATATGAACAACCACAAAACAAAAATACAGAAAATGTGGAAAGCCAGACAGGGCCAGCATGCATCAGAGGGGGATCAACTGACAACGTTTTCACTGTTCAAGCAGATGTATCTATGCCTTTGTTCTTCTCTACTCATCTCTCCAATGCCCTCTGTTTAGTAACTCGTTTCTTCCCATCCCTCAACTGTGGATAGAGGGAGTTTCCAGAGCCTGGTTTCTGATGTAGCTCCCAAAAACGAATCTAGGGCTCCCACTGTCCTCCGCAGTCTTCTGAAAACTGGATTCTCACAATTTAAGCCCTGATAGGAATCCCTCCTTTGAATTCAGATTACATGAGTTGTAATCCTTCAGTGACTGATGACCGTGTGCTTCTTCCAATGTGGACTTAATTGACATCTCACTTAGATGGCTCCTTATTTGTAGACAAACCTTTAAGACCCTAGATACTATTTTTTTTTCTGATAGCCGGGCACTATCTAATTTCTTTGCCACATTTTCCCATATCTTCTGTGCTCTCTTTCTGAGGGTGAGTATTGAGCAGGGCCATGATGTAAGAACTGATTGCACTTAAGTTGGAGCTGGAATTTAGTATGAGCCTAAAACCCATTCTTGGATCTATATTTGTGTTTTGTTTTTAATTTACTATTACTGGGGAGTGTAATACATATGCCATATCATTCCACAGTTCAATCATGTTAAGCAGAATTGTACAATTGCTTCCACAATCAGTTTCCAAATATATTTTTTCCCCTGGACTTTTTGACTTTACCCCACACCCCTGCCCTACCCCACCCAAAGCCCGTAAACTTTTATTCTGTTTTCTGTCCTTGTAGATTCTGCTGAGATTGTCTACATTCTGTTTGGTTTTAAATGATTCTCTGTTTGGGCCACCCTTGGCAACCAGCTCTTAGGAGCATCACTGCATACTGTGGAGGGCTGCAGCAGTCTCAGGCAATTGTCTTGATCTATCAGAATAGTGGTGCTTCTGTAGGACCATTTTGGTTCAGCCACATGCTGAGACTTTGCCTTTCCACTGATATACTCAATCAGGAGCTACATTTTAAAAAGATACCTGGTGAACCTTAGAGATCTCAAAGTGCTTTTTTTTAATATACTCCCTCAAAATACCCATTGTCCAAGATCTATTTCTTATACTCATTTCTTGAATCAATAGAAAACTGGCATAAAACTAAATGAATGACTTTTCTAGGCATCACATTAGTTGTTGATGGTAGGCGCATTAGGTATACAAACTTTTACTTATTACTAGTGAGCATTGCTATATAGTCAAAAAGTATATAAAAATACACTTTTATGTCCTCAACACCCTCTGGCAATGAAAAACTTTTGTACCTTGGCCTATAATCCAGGATGTAGTGTAGGTATCTTCTCTTGCAGCCCACCTGGATCATCATAACTACCCTTAAGAAGCACAATTTTTGCAGAGAACAGGCTTGAGATTTGGGTGACAGGTGTAATATTTGGGGCTAGATCTGCAGGGCTCAGGACTGATGGGCATTCATTGAATAAGAATGTAGTACCAATAGAGTTTTAAGTTACTCACAATTTGAGGATTGAGTTGATGATCTTCTACTTCTACTGCTCCATGATAAGGTATCTTTGTCTTACTTAGTGGCGTTCGAGCTGTAATTTTCTAAAACGATCTCTTGCCCCAGTTGGAGATGTCATTATATGCTCGACTTTGCACACAAATACATATTTCCCCACTGAGGATCAGTGTCTTTGTACATTTAAACACTTGATTCTAGAAAGAAACTACCATTTGGTTTTATCTAGACTCCTCTGAGCTTTGGTTTTCTTAGTGTGAGGCAAGAGTAAGACCAGGGAGACCTACTAGAAAGTCATCACTTAATATGTGAAGTCAGGGTCATGACAGTGGAGATGGAGTGAAACAAGAGGCATAGCAGAGATTTCAGAGTTGGATTAATAGGAGCCGGTAATTGATTATAAGGGTAGGGGCAGTAGCAGCAAGAACTAAAGGGGGTTGATTTGGCTCTGGAAAGGAATTATAGGAAGCAGAAATTTCCTTGTTTGTTGAGCCTAATTAGAGAGAACTATATTCTCTCCTTTAGGAGAACTGTTATTCTCCTTTGAAATATATTTTAATAAATTTTTTTTCTAAATGCAAAGAAATGTATTATATTCGAGGAGTACCCAAAAAACCGGAATTGCACTGGGCAGAGCAGAGCTTTCCGAGTTCGCATTTATCCCTCTAGGCAAACATTGAACAACTCACAATAGTGCACCCAGTGGCATCATCTGGGAAGGTTACAGTGAACTTTTTCATAAAAGCAGTTTCAATCAAATCTCGTTTTTTGTAATGGCCGATTTAAGAGAACAGCATGCGCCTATGAAATTTTTTTTGTGCTTGGGAAAAATGCTGCAGAAACTGTGATGTTGAACACAGCTTACATGGGCAGTGCTATGGGAAAAGCTCAAGTGTAGGAGTGGTTTTCTCGTTTCAAAAAAGGTGAAATGTCGATTGATGACAAATACATTCTGGACATCCATCAACTTTCTGAAATAACAAAAGCATCTACTTATAGTACATTTGGAGTTCGTTCCACCAGGTCAGACTGTTAATCAAGCTTTCTATTCAAAGGTTCTGAAAAGATTGTCACAAAAAAGGCCTGATTTGTGGCAGGCTGGGGACTGGTTTTGCCACCACGACAATGCACCTCCTCATGCAGTCATCTCAGTGCTCCAATTTTTTTTGGCGAAAAACAGCATGCCTCTCTTGCCCACGCACCTTACTCACCAGACCTCACTCCGTGTGACTTCTTTTTGTTTCCACTAATGAAGAGGGACATGAAAGGACAGCGATTTTGTGAGGGAGATGCTGTCAGCCATCCAAATAGATAAGTTTGAAAATGTTTCCAAGAATGGAATCAGATTTGACAAATGTTTTAAGTGTAATGGAGAGTACTGGGAAGGTGATATGGTTGTTTTGGTTTATATATATATTTTTCATTTTCTTCATTTTCCCATGAGGAGATGTTATTATTTTTCTCATGCTCTACCAGGCTCAAAGGTTGCCCCTAGGAAAGCCATTCAATTGTGGTGTATAGTGTTCACTTGGACATCCCTATCCCAGAGCTAGTATATCTCCTTGAAAAACAACTTAGAGATAAGATGCTGAATCAAAACCATCATCTCCCCAGCCAAAGGACAGCATTAAATTATAAATCTATAATCCCTGACTAAAAATATTATCTATGTGGACACATCCTCCCCATTAAAAACTCCATACATTTTTATGTTAAATACATTAAAAATTACAACAACAAAAAATTGAAAATCAGAACGTAGTCTTCAAATGAGTACCTACCCAAAGCTCCCTCCTGTATACCAAGAGAGGTTACAAAAATTAAAAAAAAAATGGACTAAGATCTCAAAAAGTTTATAGTCTGGAAGGGATGAGAAGCTATGTATATAAATAACTAGAAAACAGATGGTGATTAATGACCCAGGAATCTCTATAGTCTACATCCTCTTATGGTGCTTAAATATTGTGAATTTTTTTGTTAAAAGATAATTGTATTGGGGTTTTTTACAGCTCTTATAACAATCCATACATCAATTGTACCAAGCATATTTGTACATGTGTTGCCATCATTATTTTCTAGACATTTACTTTCTATTGAGCCCTTGGTATCCACTCTTTTTTTCCTCCCAATCCCCCTCCCACCCTCGTGACCCCTTGATAAATTATAAATTTATTATTATTTTCATATCTTATACCAACCTCTGTCTCCCTTCCCCCACGGTTTCTGTTGATCATCCCCCGGAGTGGGGGGGGGTCTGTGGTTATGTGTCAATCATTGTGAACAGTTCCCCCTTCCTTCCCACCTCTCCCCACCTTCCCTCTACCCTTATGGTGTCACTACTCCCATTCCTGTTGCTGGATTCGTGAGCTCATCTCTTATCTGTACCTGTGCACATGCTCCGGTCGAACCACAGTGAAAGGCAGTACTGGGGTCATGATACTGGGGGTCAAGTTTAAAGAACACTTGTGGTGCTTCAAAACTGTGTAGGCAGAGCCCTCACTTGCCTCGGAGGGGATGCAGGGTGTAAAGAGAGGAAGGGAGCAGATCTGCACAAGGGAAAGCTGGAGGGCTTCAGTCAGCCATGATGTTAACTAGGAAGCCTGACTTCCAGAAGCAGGCATTTTCATTAGCTTGGCAAAAAGACAAATAACAGGGTGTGTAATATACATAGGAAGAAGCAATTTTCTTCAATCTGGAGGATATGCCTAATTCTAAAGAGCAGTCAGATTCATTAGGATTAACTGACGAGCAGAGGTTTTCTGTGCAATAACCCCTCTCACTCGTGGCCACGCATTTTTAGTTACCACGCTAGAAGAATACACAACAAATCAACCCCTAGCTCCCTTCACAGGGGCAAGTTCTTGTGGTCTACAAATAACATAAGAATTCTTTTCAGAAGCCCACACCCAGCAAGCAAGAAACCAAGGATTCCACATTCCCAAAAAATAGAATCTTATCACAGCTGAATGAGGCCAAGCAAAAGGAGGAATAGAAGAATAAACCTACCCCCAATAAAAGAAGAAAATAAGTTAGCCAAGAAAAGCAAACATTGCGTTTAGCTATTAAAGACCTTAGGGAAAAGATAAAAGTACTTCTGCTTAAAAACTTCAGGAATTTTCACATCGGAGAGACTGCCTAGAATTTTATGTGTATGTATATTGTATACCCAAACACACATTTACTCCAAGAAAGACCTTCCTCAAATTTTCCTCTGTCTTTAGACTGTCGTTATTCATTCGTATTTGTTTTATTTCCAGTGCACTCCAAAATGCGGTCCAGGATTCAAGCATCGGATTGTTCTGTGCAAGAGCAGTGACCTTTCCAAAACATTCCCAGCTGCACAATGCCCAGAGGAAAGCAAACCTCCTGTCCGCATCCGCTGCAGTCTGGGCCGCTGCCCTCCACCTCGTTGGGTGACTGGAGACTGGGGCCAGGTAAGGCTACAGAAGCAGCACCTTGGGACAAAACCTCAAGGTTCCTGATTGGCCATTGTTAGGGCTCAAGTGTTGAAAATGAACACATGAAAGTTTAGGTATGATGTAAGTGGGGAGCCTTGCACAAACAGGAGCTGGCACGCATGGACATTGCACACCCACTTGCCCCTACAGACTTCCTACTTATATTGATGGATGCCACAGATTCTAATACCTTTAGTTAAAATTCAAAGAGAAATGGTCTAGAAAGATGTGGTGGTCTACTTCCGTAAAGATGTACAGTCTCAGAAATTTTCTGGGGAAGTTCTACTCTGCCTGATACGGTTGCTATGTCTTCGAGTAGACTGGAGGGCAGTGCATCTGGCTTTTTGTTTTCTGTTTGTGTGGGGGGTAGAATGGGGTGGAGAGGACATGTTTATTTCATTTGGGAAAGGACAATGAGTTTTCAGGTCTCATTTAGACAAATAAAAACCCCAGCTACTTTAAGCTCAGCCCAGAGGGGAGGCAAAAGGAGACAATAATGAATGCTTTGCATTTGGGTTTGAGTGTTGGTTGAGTTTACAAAGTGCCAAAGGTGAACACACATGAAAGCATGTATGTAATTAATGTAAAACTGTATTTCACTGCAGAAGAGTGACAGTTTCCAAGTACGTAATTGATAGCATGCTGTTGAAGACTCAGTGCAGACATGCTCTCACGAGCTTTATTTTAATTTAGGTATACATGTCAATGCACTGTTTCTTAAAGGCCAGTTGAAAGTTTTTGCATGTTTGTGATTTCATCAAATTTACAACTGTTATTTTGATGCTTTTAAAAAAAATATTATATTTTTCTTCTCATTTAAATTATCTATCCAGTTTTCTAAAATTCAAAATAATCATGAAAGTACATCTCCAAAGAAAGTTCAATAAATTATATAGTACATGTACTTGCCATTCTATATTAGAACATTCCCTGCTCTGTAGGGTTGCCATGAGTCAAAATCGCCTCAATGGCAGTGAGTTTTGTATTAAAAACTTAAAAATAAAGCGGTGCCTATCTTAGAGTTTTTAAAAGAAACAGAATTATGAAATTTATCTGTCTGTCTGTCTGATCTACCTACCTACCTATCTGTTGAGAGACAGGCAGGTGGTGGTGTTAAGAAAATTGGCTCATGCAATTTCGTGGGGCTGGCAATCCAAAATCTTATGTCCCAAATCCATAGCTCAGGCGATAGTCTGGAAATTCCTAAAGTCTTATGTACCGAATTCTTAGGTCAGGCATGCTGCAATTTTGTATCCCCAAATCCATCAGTCAGAGGACAGAAAGATGGAGTCCTGGCAAAGTTTCTTATTTATAGGCTGAAGGCAGAACTCTCCCTGAGAAAAAATTCCCTTCTTGTTCATCAGGCTTTCATCTTATTAGACGAGACCACCCATATTATACTTTACTGATGACCAATAATTGATAAAAACATGTCAAACTTCAACAACCGCAGCTAGCCTAGTGTTTGGCCTGACAACTGGGCACCAGAACCTAGCCAAATTTGACACCTAAAATGAACTATCGCCGTGTCTTTGTAAATATCTTTGTTTGACTTGCGAGGGAGAGATTTGCAAGAAAAGCCGACAGGCCTGCTCTTCTGCCTTGTAAACACCCCCATCCCCGTGTCTGGGCACCTGCTAGCTCTCCTCCCTTTGATAGCCGGACTCACAGGCTTTATGGTAGGCTGGGGATAAGCTCAGAGAACAGACACGGCTCCGTATTCTTCAGCCTGGACAGCAGATCAGTCACACAGAGGGCAATTCCAGGCCAGAAAGCCTGACTAGAAAAAGGTGGAGACGTTTTAATAGACCGACACCAGACCCACTTCTCAGGTAACTCACAATATTTCAGAAAAATAGAGACAGTTCAAAACAAAATAAAGCAAAAACCAGCCCCATCATCAGGCTCCAAAGCAGTGTTATTATACTGACTAACATTTGTATAAGGTACAAAGCCCATCAGTAAACCCTTGGATTGTTTACCAACAAAGCTGTAATAGATAAGGAGCAACAGTCATCTCCCAGCCTTAGAATCTGGTTATTCTGCCTCATCATTTCTCTCCTGGTACAACTCACCAGCCCTGTCTGGACTTGTTGGTGTGACGTCTCAAGAAACCCACTGTGGTGTCTTTAGGTAACAACATTGATTTTATTTCCTATAGTAATAAGACAAGCCTTGAGTTTCCAAATGAACCCTCTGGTAGAATGATCTCACCCCACACCTCTCCAAGATGGACTGACCTTAAAGTAACGTGTGGAATGCTTAAAACGCGTGTAGTTTAAAGTGTGCCGAGTATCTTTTTTAACTTCTGTAAATTGTTGAGATATTTCATTTTACCCTTTGCCTTTGGATTTAGTGCTCTGCTCAGTGTGGCCTTGGACAGCAAATGCGGACTGTGCAATGTCTCTCCTACACGGGACAGGCATCTAGTGACTGTCCGGAAAACGCTCGCCCCCCATCGATGCAGCAGTGTGAAAGTAAATGTGACAGTACCCCCATTGCCAATACTGAAGGTGAGTTTCCATGGAGATGGTGGGACCTGAGAGCACAAATACAACTGTGTGTTTTGTGACTCACCAGGGGTGTGTGTGTGTGTGTGTGTGTGTTAAAAAATCAAAAACACAGTCATGGCCAAGTTGAGTCCCATGCATGGCAATTGCACGTGTGCCCCAGTAGAAGTGGATTCTGTAGGTTGTGCTCTAATGGATGATTTTTCAGAACTACATCACCTCTGGGTAGACTCAAAAGTTCTCACCTTTCGGTTATCAGCTGATTGTTCACAGCATGTACCACCTGGGCACTCCCAATAGGGTTCAAAGGGCCCCAGACCCTGTTTGTAAAATAATTTTTATGGAGCACTTGTGAGAGCCACATGGGGCACTAGAAAGTGTGTGGAGGTGCAAAAATCCAAACTCTCTGCCATTTGTCGATTCTAACTCCTAATACTCTTAGATAGGACAAGGTAGAACTGCCCCTGTGGCTTTCTAAGACTGTAGCCCTCTACGGGAATAGAAAGCCTCATCTTTTCTCCCTAAAGCAACGAGTGGTTTTGAACTGCTGACCTTGTGCTTAGTAGCCCAACTCATAGCCAAGTGCACCACCAACTCACTCTCACTGTCATTGAGTTGATTCTGAGACAGTAGAAACATGATACAGTAGAAACTGGCATTTACATCTATATGCCCTTATTAGATCTCTGGGGCTTCATTACCTATAAAATGAGAGATGAGAGTATATGACTATTACGGTTGCATCCAATTTTGTTTTCGATGTTTAGCTTGTACTAGAATTGAGGGATGGTTTCTAATGACCCACCCTTAAAAGTGAAAACGTCGGTTTCTTTTGGACATGACAGTGAACCACGACCACCCTGAAGGTAAAACCCATGATAGATAGAATGAAAGCATCTGCTTGAAACGATCGGTGTTTCAAATGCTGATTTTCTTATGGCAGAAAAGTAGAAAAAGATGATGATGTAGTTGTTTATAAAGGAGAACAAAGGTCTTTGGTCTCTGAAATGTTTCTCCTTGTGTATTGGGACATGTCTTTATGACAGCCACGACGTCGGATTTTCTTATTCACCACCTAAATAAATATACTTTCTTCATTTGAAAATGTTTGAATGCCTGCTATGTCTAAGGGACTCTGACAGAGGCTTTGGGGAGATAGAGACAAATATGGCTGCTAGAAAGTTCCGACTGCCATCTCCTGAAAGCAGAGGGAGGTATAATCAAACATATGTACACAAAGGCATGATTTATAAACAACTACCATGAATATATAACCAAATTATCTGTTTGTAATGTTCAAGAGAAAATTGTATACTCATAAACTTCTTTTAAAAGATGTTTTTCTTTTGATCAGATGTAACCACTTTGAGGGATTACAGCAACAATAAAACGTAACCCACCACAGTCACAATTTTAAGATGTTTCCACAGCCATTCAGCTTTATGAAGAGCCATCATCGTAATGTCAGGTGTAGAGAACCTCACATTTACGAATGTTTTAATATGCTCCCCAAGACAGTATACTTATTGTAAGTATAGTTTAGTATATTCTCCTATATTAACTTACAATCACACATTTCATTAGCAAAACATCTAACTCTAATGCCTGACTTTTGACTCTTTGTTAAGGGACATTCAAGAAACGTAGATTTAGGTTAGAGTCACTCGCTGTGTGATAGAGATCCATTGCAAAGCCAGTCCCTGGGTGGCAGAGGTATTTCAGACTCTACTACTAGATGGAAGGTTGGTAGTTCACCCTTCCCCAGAGGGGCTGCCGAAGACAGGCTTGGCCATCTGCTTCCCTTCAAAAGCCCACGAAGCAGTTCTGCTCGGCACGCTTGAGACCCCGCCATTGGAATGGACTCGAGTGCGACCAACAAGACATCTTCACAGATTAATTGATACAAGTCTGACAACAGCCCTTATAGTTGGTGTGACTGATGAGGAACCTGAGGCATACAAATGTCTGCATTGCACAAGTAGGAAGAGATAGAGACAGGATTCAGATCCTGATTTGATAAGATCCCCAGGCATGTTACTTTCAACTACACGTAAATGCTATTCTTTTTTTTTTTTTCAATGCTATTCTTAACTCGTTCATTAATGTAGGAGATTTTGGCATAAAATTAGTGAAGAAGTTGAGACATGGCCATTAGACTAATTCAATAATCTGAGTTTTGGACATTGTTGAGCAAGCTG